CCTGAGCGCGGCTCTGGAGGGAGGCTCACCGCGGCCAGCGGGCTCCCGGCCCGGAGAGCAGGCGAGAGGAGCCCTCGCCGCAGCCGGAGCGCAGCTCTCCGCCGTTGCTGCAGCATCGCACCGCTGAACGCGGGTTAACGGGAGAGACGCTGCCGCTGCCTCCGAGGAATTTGCAGCTGTTGGGTTTCAGGGCTGAGCTCTGTGGATCCCGAGCGGTGCCACTCGGGGCCGATGGCTGACGCGAGTGCAGGCAAGGCAGCGCTAAACAGCCTCGGGCTGCGGGGATGGGTTTCCCCATCTCCCAGGGCTTTAGAAACAGGCAAGGCAACTCTCCTCGAGGCTGCAGTTAAACCTTAGATGCAGCTGTTTTCCCATTAACAGGTGTCTTTAATTATTTTAGCCAGATTTCACTAATAAATTAAATCTTTAACGCTGTTGAAAGTAGTGCGAGCAAGGATCAAGTCCTGTATTGAAAATGGATCAATACGATTAAGTCTAAATGCTTAACTATTAAGTCAGTTTGTGAAGCAATAACAGCCTTGTAGGTAAGAGGGCCCACTCGGCAGCAGACATCACAAAACCAACGAATCCCTGTCCTGGCCTCCCATTTCTTCTTCCATACACACCCCGTTCCTCCTCCCAACAAACTCGAAATAGCCCAACCAGTTCATTGATTCAGTTCAGAAAGCAGCCTTTCCCTTCCTAAGGACACTGATTTAAATTTCTTCCTTTGACAGCCATAATTTTTCACAAAAACTGTAGGAACTTAATAAACTTCAGATATCTTATTCTCTCAAATTAGGCCAAAATAAACATAAAAGCATTAAACATAAGAAAAAAAAAAAATCCCTTTTTTTACTGTGAAGGTGGTCAAACAGTGCAACAGGTTGCCCAGAGAGGTTGTGCAGTCTTCATCCTTGGAGTTTTTCAGGACACCGCCCTGAGCAACCTGCTGTAGTTGGCCTGCTCTGAGCAGGGGGTTGGACTGGACAATCTCCAGAGGTCCCTTCCAACCTCAGCTATTCTGGGAGCCTGCAATTTTGCTGGACTATTAAAAAAAAACAAAAAACAAAAAACAGCCACACAAAAAAAAAAACTAACCCAAAAAAACCCCAAACCACCACAAGGCAGTTCACATCAAAGGAAAATAAAAAAAGGGTCAGGGACCAGGTTCAGGGGTTAGGGCAGGGCTCAGGGTCACGTAAACACAAGCAATAGATCTATGGCCTCGTCTCCTTAGCTTTCATTATTTATTCATAATTTAGGAATGTAAGTACAATTAAGTGGCTTGGGTTATTAGTCTTAAAAACCCACTCAGGAATGTAAGTAAGAATATGGAAGTGCCACATGGCTAACAATACTCTTCAAAAACGCATCGACTATAGTCCTATAAATATCCAAGATAAAATAGCAACCTCAAAGTTTAACCCTCCAATTTTAAGCACCATAAATAGAATTTGTGTTCAAAAACATCAACAGCTTTCCAACAGTGGACTTAGAACTCCTAGACACCAGAGAAATACTTGCTGCTTAATAATCCAGGAGCTATGACCAAGATGCTTGTGTGTCAAATGACAATGGGCTGAGCTTTCATTTACACAACTAACGTAACATTTCCTTGTTGGTCAAGTTCCACAATAGCAAGTTCTTTCAAGATTTGTATTCTTGAATGGGTGGCTTTCATATTCATCTTGTTCATCTGTGAAACACTCAGCGCCGCTCTGCAAGACAAAAGCAAGCTATTTAGCAAAACAGGTTATCAAAAATCAGGTCTGGCAGAAAAAGGCTAAAAAGCACGTACTGTTTAATGAATGATTTTTGCGAGTGCTCTGTAATTCTCATGCTTATTCAGATTGTCATCAACTTTTCTGTGCTACTTCAAATTGAGAACCATCATTTGCTAATCCAGCCTTAAAGAGACAGAATTCCTGAGTTAAAAACTTCCTTATTTTTAATATCGGCCTGCAAGAAATCCGCAGCACGCATCCCAGACAGGGGTCAGGGCTCGGGGAGGCCGGAGGGGTTGGTGTGGGGAGGGCAGGGTGCAGGGGTCATGGTTTAGCATTAGGGCTTCGCTTTTCCAGTCTGGATGCAGATTCCCAAAGCTGAAAGGGTTTGGCGGTATGACTGTGTCAGCAAAACCTTCCTGAATAGACCCAGTTTTAGACACCTGCACAGTGAAACCAAAGTGAAAAAAATCCGTTTCTGAAGAACTTGGCATTCAGTTTTGAAAATTATCAAATCGTACAAGCCATTTTTATCCAAATTAATTTAGAGGGTTTTGTATGACGGCCTAACACTTTGGGGTATGTACCTAATCAAGAAGAGTCTAGGGGAGTAAAATCAAATTATGAAGTTGTAATGTAGCAGCACATGGTTAACTGGTTTTGTTTAATTTGAAAAGGCTGAATTTCTTTACAGCTTATAAAATTCTTACTAATGAATGGCTTTAAGTCTTACCTGTTCTTCTTTACAATGAAGTGGTTAAATAACTCCCTGTACAAATCGTTCAAGTCTGCTAGTTTAACCTTGGTACAGTCATAAGCATTTCCCCAGTCAATGGGGAATTGCAATTGAATTGCAATTCTAAAAAATTGGAAATAGAAGCTATTTGTTTCTTCAGAATTAGGCCAAAGATAGAAAGTACTTTCATTACTTTTTAATAAACCCCCTAAATGGGTCTAAAGGAAGATTTTCCAGCAGGAAGAAGGAGAGATAGAAGATACTCCCCCTCCAAACTATCGCTGTATCTGCAGACCCAGTGAAAAATCATTTAATTTGAGTTCTGACGGGGATTAATACATTTGGTCTGTCAGCGACTAGGTTTTTTTTTTTTGTGGTTTTTTGTTTGTTTGTTTTGTTTTGTTTTTTTAAAGAACTAGGAAAATTCCTTTCTATAAGTAGAGATAAATGGATTGAACAAGAGCTATTTCTATGGCAAGACTAGTACATCATTTCTTCCAGACCACAAACACAACACTATCCACTTCAATATCACCAAAAGCAAGAAAAAAAAACTCCCAGAGACATGGGAACTCTATGTGGAATATAACTAAGGGCTCACTTGCTTATATTAAAGTCTAAATTCTTCACATAAAAGCAGTAGTTACTAGTGCTTGAGACTGAAAACAGTGAATTTATTGTGCATCATAGGCTCTATGTTTTTTAAATAAAAGAGCTCAGAAATCATACCTAGGTCTCAGCCTATTCCTACGTACTGTGAGATCTGCCCCTATCGTACTAGGGGTAAAACAGCCTGTATTTGTCAACTGAAGTTATTGACAATATCTGCCTTCTTCAGAAAGTAAAACAGTTTAATTCATTACTCCCTGAATTCTAGACGGTGACTTGATATGTTTAAATAGTACAGAACTACTAGAGTTCAATATTAGAGATGGAAGTCTTGAGAGACTGATACTATTCACAAAGCTTGCTTACTGGGGCTGGGTGTGTGTCGGGGAGATCAGACAACAGGAAAAAAAAACCCAAACCAAACAGTGGGAAGATTATTCTTTCAGCACTTACCTTCAGTTGAGCCAGGGACTGTCGATCCTGAACAAAACGGCTAAAAATAAACAAGACAATGTCAGGATTTGTTGGATTTTGTTTAGAAATTTGTCTTACAATTTCATTTCTGCATGAGTAATTACATTGTACCATTGGATAACCTTGCAGCCACTGAAGTCAGCAGCAAAATCTTAGGCATTCAACAAACCCTGGTTTCAAATAAAAATAAGTTTAAAACGGCTACAGAAAGATTTATATACAAGTCAGATGAGCCTCTTCAGCTTCCTCCTTTGCATTCTGGCATGGATCTAGCTGACAGCACTGCACATGCAGCAGGGGAAAAAGACGGCTTTCCTATTCTCACGCAGCCTCAGAGGCTGACAGTTCTGACAAGCTGAAGGTAGCTGTATGGTAACTCTCCTCAGCCAGAAATACAGCACTGGCGAAAAAAATCCCAAGGCCTTCGTGACATCCCTCCATTCTTTCTGACTTTCAGAGAACACCTTCTAAACACGCTCAGTGACAACGCAGGGACTGACACCAAGTGAACTGGCCGCAGCAGCTGTAGGATATAGCTGCATTTTGCATTGGGCCTGGTTTATGCCAGCTGTACCTTAAGTGCTTTAGAATTAAATAATGGAAAGACAGAAATTGAGAGCACTTATCAAGGTAGGAGAAGATATTTGCAAACAAAGAGTGAATGAAGCTGCAAGATACTGGATGGCTTTCATGCAAACCAACCGTGGCAATAAAGGGACAGAAAGCGAGGCATCCTCTGACAGAAGAGTAGCGGGCAGTGAGAAGACATGTAGAAAAACTTAAGGTCAATGAGATAATTACACTCTATTGACCTTCTTAAATATTTTGCTTTTAATATGAGACCCAGACCAAATCTTTGCAGATAATTATGTTAGAAGTTTGTGCTTTGAGTAGCTATGGGAGAATATCTGACTTGTTAAAAAGTATTAGTTTACATCTATGTTCTACTGCATTACAGTTAGAATATACTTATTGTTACTCATATTCCAAAATTCATTTAATATTTTACAGGAAATGAAATTTCTCTCAATTTTGATAGACATTGGTTTGAATCAATTACATTCCCCACTCCCACCCAAAGGCTTCTTATATAATGCATTAACAGAACAATAAGGTTGACAAAAGCAATCAACCGCATCTCTGAAAGGAAGCATAACCCAACTAAAAAATAAGGGGAACAAAGTCTTCCCTCTTCGCAAAATTTTTTCCTTCATGAACAATCTAATTGGAACAAATCATAAACTGAATCAGTATACAACAAAAATGACGAGGTTTGTTAGAAACTTTAGTCCCATTTCTGAAAAATTCTATTCATTTGAGAGGTATTAAGTCACAAAAACAGCCCTTCTGACTTCAGATGAGCTACTCAGGATGAATGGCTCCTGGAATACTGACACTCTGTGGCCTAATTACCTTTTCCGCTAGCAATTCCATTTCTTTAACAGTTTGGCAGGTTAACTGCTGTGCTGCAGCCTGTTCTTCTTCTGACAGAGGTATGCGCTAGAAAAAATACAAACAGAGAACTCTGATACTTTCAGTTCCTAGGGTGATGGTATTTACAGAAGAATGCAATGTTTGTGTAGCCCTTTTCTCATGGAAACTCAGAGTAGTCTCCTACTTTCCTTCAAATGAAAGCAAATTTACAAGCTGAATGTTTCTGAAAAATCCAACCATAACATTCCTTTAACATCAATACTATAAATGATTCAATGGAAAGAAGATAAATTATTCAGTAAGAAGTAGTATTTCACTTAAAGACTTACATTTCTCCTTAACAGTTTACTCAATCTTTGGTTTAGGGAATATAAAAAGTATAAAAAAATCTTTATCTAAGAAGTCTAAATGTAACTCAGGAGACAAGAGTCTTCCACTTTAACAAAATCCAAATATGAAATTATTCTTGGCAGCATATCCTTGGAACACAGGGAGAGAAAATATTTTTTTTCTTTCTGTGACATATAACTACTGTCTTTTAAATCATTATACAGTACAGTTCATCTACAAGGACTTACAAATAACTTGTCTAGAGCTGTTGGCAAATTAAACACAATCTTGGGGCACTGTCATTAGAACACTAAAGTGAGAGCTCGGATCTGGGAATGTGTTTTAGTCACGCCAGTTCTGTCTTTGCCACTAGATTATCAATTAACTTTTTTGATCTAAATCACCTTATTTGCAAAGGGACGGAATTAATGCTTTCATAACCTCTTCAAAATTGTAATGAAGCTGTGTCTGAAGACCACTTGTGAAAAGGTGTTGTTTATTGTTGGGGCATTTTCATAGATAGAGAGATACTGAGAAAAAAGGTACTTCGTTGCACCAACAGCAATTCCACCACAAGTGTAACAAAGCATTGGTTTTAAGGTACTCATTTTAGACAGTGAAAATACATTTGCCATAAAAGTTTTTTTGCCGTTTAAAAGGTAGCTACTTTTAAGAAGTCAGTATAGAACTGGGACACAGCTGTGCACAGAGGTATCAATTCCTATGAAACTATTCAAACGTGTGTCATGCTATTCACACTAGTATGGTACTACTTCAGCTCCAAAACTGACCACCACTAGCTTAACTGTTGAGTGATGAATCAGGCTTAAGATTTACAAAAAGAGCTCCCATCTTGTGAACATTTCTTCCGGTAAACAGTCGTCTTATCTTCTGAGAGTCTTGTAAGAGTCCGCACATGTAACAGTTTCCAATGGCACTACTCACATCCATGTAAAGCTTACACAAATACATGTTCATTTACAGGAGTGAGACCCGAGTGATTAAAAGGAAAATACTACCTTAAGATCAGTATGTTGCTGTAATTCCTCAACCATCTTCGTTGTGTTCTCTAGAGCAGCACGGATGGCCTTCATGGCTTCTCTCTGCTCTATGGAAGCTTTTTCCAGCCGCATACATAACGTTTTATAACGAGACTTCACCACTGAGAGCTCTTTCAAGAGAGAAACTGGATTTTCCTATGCAGAAATTAAAAGCACATTTAAACTATTTAAGAAGAGAAAGTTAACGTGGCCACATACCAATTAAAAGTGTCAGCATTAGAGCCACTAAAACAGAACATGAAACGACCCTTTACAATGAAAAGTGTAGCTGTGAGCATCTGTTTCATCTATACATTTAATTTTTCATAAGCAAAAATGATAGATAGTGTTAATAAAACAGCACAATTCCGTGGTTCCACAACGGATACAGAGGGATGAATTTCTTGTGTTAGTGACTTTTAATGGCTTTTCTGCATAGGAATAAGTTAGGGACTTCTAACTGAAGAGATTATTTTTCCGCTATATGTCACAATATACATGGAGACAAGGACTTATTTATAAAACCCTTTACATGCTGCCATTTTTTGTTTTCTTCTTCCTCTCATCTCTCCCCCAAATCTGAATTTGATCATTGCTTATTAGCAAGTTTATCTTTGATCTCAGAGCAAGGCTGTGTTTTAGCTCAGATTGGAATCTGTCTCTGAAATTTAGGTGTTAACACTACTACTCATTTCTCAAAGCAAAACATGGGAGAATTTCACTATACCAAGAAATCAAGGAAGTTTTGTTGGTTTCTGCACTGAATTCATATTAGGCCAGTTATCTTGATATATGATGCAAGAAATGTTTTCTATGATGCAAGAAATATTTTAATAATAATACAACCAAATAACAACTAGATAAAAGAACAGCCACATATATTTTAAGATTAAAGAAAATTATCCATTTATTACCAACTTTATGCAAAATGCAGTAAAATCTATTAATTTAATCTGAAAATTCTACCTCTGGTGCTAGATCATCAGGAAGACCTTTCGTTATTTCAAACTCCAGTCTGCGTTGAATATAATCCAGATCAGATTCTGCCTTCTGGAACTAAAATATTTAAGATCACCCACAGTGTATTAAAAACCAAAAATTGCAGACAAAACCCAACCATTCGCCTTTCCCGTATTTCAGGAACGCAAAAGCCAGATGCCTCCATTTTGAAGGCTCATGTACTATAAAATTAAGTTTCTATTCCTCCAATCTATTCCATTAGTTAACGTTTGCTAATTATGCTGACACGCATAAACTTTCAGACTTAACCATTTTCCTCTCGCATGTAAGAATTACATGTGTGTACACACACGCTTCTATGAAATTCCCCCTCTTTCCATTTGTCTAACCCAAATTACCCAACTGTTCCCTTTGCCCCTTGCCATTAGTACCTTTTTCATGCCGCTCCCCAAAATGCATTAAAACATTTCCATCTCTTACTACATTATCGTCCATCTCCCTAGCAATGCCAAACCTCTCAAGATGAAGTTTTAGTAGTACACCAAAGAGGTACGTTCTATCAATAGAAAAGAACACGCACCCTTTTTAAACTGATCTTCACTTGATGCAGATGTTTGATTTTTTTTTTTTCTCCTGAGTTATTAACAGATTTTTCCATCAATTTCTAGAGCTTTTTCTGGGCTAGTTACTTTTCTTTTCAAACCTTAAATGTTCTGTTAGCAAAACTGCAATACTCAGTTATTTACGCAGCAGAGATTATAAATAAGCGTTCAGGATCCAAGCACATCAACAGAGATTTTACTATTAATTATATTAGGAATGCATTCTCTCAGATGGTAATAATAGCCATAATATATTTTATTATTCCCCTATAAACCAGACTGACAAATAGATAATAAAATTGATGACATCACATTTCTTTCCTTGGGATAAATAAGCCACCAAAGAATTATCTAATTACCTTGTAAAACAGTCTGCTGATAGCATTATTACTTAATTAATTTTAGTCTGCAAATTTAATATCTATTAAGGACTTTGGCTTTAAAGAAAGGCAGTTTTCCCAGTTCACAAACAACTCATGAATTTTTTAACGTAATAATTTGGTGATTCTACAGTCACAGAAGAGACAATGATGAAAGCAAGTTAAGAATGCTTATCACTTACTTAACTTGGTTTCCACTATTTATATTGAGATTAACCCTGAAGTAACCAATACAACTTCTTTAAGGCCCAAAATAAAGCTGTATTTGTTAACTGTATCCCAGAGTACTAACTGGCAGTGCTGTAACGGCAGCTAAGGTGACAAACTTCAGTAGTCCTTGGATGCAGCCTGTAGTCAGGCCTGGATACCAATAGGATGTTTATGTTTTAAACATCAGCCTTGGGATCCACCTTCGGGAACTGCCATGAGTACCCCTGAGGACCTGGAACTTCAGGTAGCCTAAAGGAACAGTGTTCAATTCAAGATATTCTACAAGTAAAATCCCCTTTCTGATGTAGTGAAAATGTATGATCTTTCATATATACACACACCTTCGGCAGATTTTCAAAAAATAGCCTGAGAAAAGGAAAATAAATCTAGTAAAGACCTTGTAGATCTATAAATCAAAGGGAAAGTTTTCACCCGTTACTCCCACAATTTACCATCCGCCCAACAAAACTCCTTCCCACATCTACCCCAGAAACCAGTCATGATGAAATGTGAGAATAAAATACTTTTTATTACACCACGTATTTTTAAAGAGTTCATGAGGGAATTTTTCCTAACTGCTCAATCATTTCTTTTCTCCTCCCCTAGCAAACAGTTTTAGGTTTTCATTTCTAGAGGCAGGCACCCCAAAAAGATCATTTTTTACTTTTCTCCAACTCCTCGATTTGATTACTAATTCTTGGGAAAGCAGACAATGAATATGGGTGGCTTTCAGAAACATCTGTGAAGCTGTTCCTGAAATATTCAATATTGATAATTTGAGGCTTACAGAATGACAGTCAAAAAGCCACTAATACCATGCTACTACTATGATTCAAGACATTAAAAATTGAATGTGAAGCTGAATGCTTATCCATCATGTGGCTATAACTTTAAGACTTGTGCTTAATGAAAGTAATAACAGGGTTCTGTATCACTGCTTTCTCCTGAAAGTATGCTAACTCTAAAAGAAACAAAGTTTATTATCAGCAATTTCAAAGCATGTTTATAAGCACTGCCATGTGTTCCTCCATTATGATCCATTTTTCCTTTGTTTTATAAATATTTATTTCTTGCTGTATTTCAAGAAACACACACCTGCAAAAACCTCCCCTTAATGTTATGGGTTAGGACCATTCGTATGATGAGTGTTGTACAACAATCACACAGAAAACGCAGTTTGGGAAACGTCAACTTGTAATTTACTCACAGGCTTAGAAGAAAGTGTTAGAAACCGAGGCCAGACTCAAGCCATCGCTGCGCACTCTGCTTTCACATGCTTTGACAATACTATTGCACTGCTAGCTGTAAAGTACAGTAGTGCAATAAAGTCAGAGCATTCGTTAGCAGCAAGAATTCTGTACAAGTAATCAATACACTCAAAATATGTATCGGAAAAAAATAGGTCGAGTCAGATAGTGGTTTCTGTGGATCATGGAGAATTGGATAAGGTTAATGTTCACCAAGTCCTAATACAGACACACAAGAACTCAGATATTTCAAGACATTTTTATTACTCATAATCCCTGTCGTTCCACTGACGGGGGGGGGGCATGAGGGAAAAAACCACCCAACAAAATGCTCAACGTATCTGTCAGAAATTCAATTTCAAACAATTTGATGCTCTTTTAACTGGAAACTGCATTTCCAAATGTATTTATTTCTTTGATGTGCCTCATAGCAAGCCAAGATTCTAAACTGCTATCAGACAGATGTTCTTAAACTGCATTACAGGGAACATTTTCTGGACAGTAGAGTTTATTTTTCTTATTTGCAGGTATTGAATCACTTTAAAATGCACGTGAACACACACTCATTTCCCAACATTGTGGATGTACATTGCCACTGGGGTTACCACATGGATGTCAGAGCACCATCAAAGTGGAGGTGTGTTTCATAAATCTCAATAAATGTGTTTCTTTAACAAAAACAGTAACTTCACATAAAAAGTTTGAGAACTCATAGGGTTTGAAGGTGCTAAGATTCTTAACAACAGAATGCAAAGAAACAGAGGAGTGGAGAGAGAAGGATGATTGCTGATGCACACAGAGCAACAACCTGAGTCAACTCTACACCTGTAACGTTTCTCTAGAACACACTGTAGGAAATAAGAGCGCTACGCAGTGTTCTTTCCTCTTTGTAGGGCACTCACTTCTGAGGAAGCACACACAGAGAGCTGAGGGTATTTGGCATTAAAAGACCAGTTAACATTTCTCCTTCACAAATAGCTAGAAGATGAGTGCAAAAAAATAAATTAGTGGCAATCCCATTTTACTGTTGTTTTTCAAATCACATTCTAGTCTCAGACGTACAATAGTGACTTTTGACAGGTGACGATAATAAGGAGGAGGAGTAACGTAGATAGTATTGCTGGCCAATGCCCTTTTAACATTGCACTGCTTTTTGTGCATGATCACTAGTAGTACAACATAAAAAGGGCACTGGACAGACACCACTCAAAGAAAAAAGTAGGTCCACTATACCAAAAATACGGTGACAGAAATTAACTAAATTGCTCTGAATGAAGCACCCGCAGCTCATCGGTCAGGTTATCCATTTGTTATCAGATTTTACTAAATGGATGCCCACGAAATTTCTTTCAGTGCAGACTGCTGAGGTGCATACTGCTGAGGTGCATACTGCAAGGCACTAGCTCCAGTATGTGAAGTCCTCAGCATTAAAGGTTAACGAAGTGGTTGCTGTGCAGAAGGCTACATTTATCACCAACAACTACCATGTACTGTGTTTTCACTAGAGGCCAGGCTGTCTCTGTTGAAGCTGTTGGACAGATCTCCAGTCCCAGCTGACTTCAGTGAACTCTTGTGCAGCACAGTCTTAGGTGCCCGAGTCCTGAACTACAGCACCCAGTATTCTTACTTGAATTGTTAATAAGTCAGCTTTACCATCTTTTGCATAACGAATCTGATCTAATATTGTAGATGTTACGGTTCATTCAGCTCTTCTTGTTATTGTACTTTGAGCAATAGTTTCAAATAACCATCGATTACCTGGTATTTTCATACACATTGTTCTTTTTAAGCTCCTACAAATTAGTTTATCCCTGGTTCCATGAGACTAAAATGAAGCTTTCCATGAAATGCATGTCAAAACCTCAGGGGAAATAAGAAGTGTTATTTTATCACACTTCTGTGGAGAAAGCTGACTTCACAGGAAATCCAGGAAGAAGAAACAATGAGCAGAAGGAAAAGCAAGAGACACAAAGCTGCAATATGTGAGACATAGTTGCCAATGTACATATTCCGATTAACATAAACAATGACAAAGAAAAATATTGCACTTTTGAATGAGGTTTGGATCTAGGAAATTAGTAAGTGAAATTGTTCGAGGTGTATTTAAGAAATCACCCTTTTCTTAAAAAAAAAACAAAAACAAAAACAAACCACCAAAAAAACCCCAACAGAAACAGGTGAAGATGCAACTGCCTTGTGCCACCCAGCAGTTTTAGTGGAAGAAGGCAGCCAGGTATACCATCTTCCATCTTCTGCTAGAAGAAATTAACAGAATAATCAAACAGAAATCAAAATCAATTCAGTTTTCAAATGGATGACCCAAATGATTTGGGGTAATTAGAACGGGGTGAGACACCAAGCTATAATCTCAAAACCTTTGGAAGCTGTTATGCACCATCTGTGCAGATAATTGACCCAAACAGGCTCTCCACCTTGAAATTATTTGTGCAATGATCATTTTGGTTGACTCGTAAAGTAGATCGTAACACAGTGACCCATTACTGTCCTCTTCCACTACCATATGTCAAAGCCCCTGTTAACTTTAAGGTGGCCAAAACACCTCGCTGACTATTACATGTCCTGAAGTGAGAATAACTTGAAAGTAAGACTTTCAATAAAACGCATAAACAAACCATAACATTAAATAAATAAATATCAAAATCTAACCTAGGTCTCTCTAAACAGATTTCTAAATTATTATTTCTAAACTAGGCTTTTAAAAATAAATACTACTAACAAAAGATACGAGAGATCAAGCTTACGTTATAGGCAAAGCTGTGGTTTTGAATTTGAAATTATAACAACTTCAGAGCTCTGACAAGAATAGAGTATGTCACTGAATTAAAAATACTGTACATTACTACCACTCTAAGTATTCAGTATGATGACCGCAGTTCAGTAGCTAAAGAAGAGCAAAAATAACCCCACTTCCTCAAAAGCATGGTTTCTTCAAAGAAAAAAACAAAACAAAATGCACCACCTTATTTTTAAAGTGCAATAAACCTGAGAATTGTGTAGGATATTTTGAATTATCTGATCTTCCAACTAATGCAGGT